AATCGATTGTACAAAAGAACCAATTACTGTAGAAAAAGCGGCTGTAAACCAATGCATCTGGCAAAAATGGAACATACTCTGGGAAAACTCGTGGACAAAACTACACTTGGTCCGTAACAATGAGTGGGAGCATCCACCATGCATCAAGAACAGGAAAATTCAATGTATTTTGACCAAACTGTGAATAGGTCACTCCAACTCGACACTCTCGTCAAAAACACCAGAGAACAAATGCCCTAAATGTGGAACTGCAACCACTATTTTTCACGTATTAACAGAGTGTAATGCTTACCAATATGAAAGAACTGGATTGCCTGAAAACATCAAGAACTGTCTGGGCGACATTGAAAGTGTGCACGATGTTATCAACTTTTTAAATCGAATTGGTGTGCTAAACTCCATATAAGAAATAGTTGTAAATCATTTTTTGAAGTTTGTAACTGTAAAATGTTACTAATTGTTACTAAATGTCGCTAATTACCCCTGCAGTCGATGCGACTAAATAAATGAAAAAAAAAGAAAAAAGTACAACGTTCTCGTAAATATAGGAAGCTTTTTATTAATTAAAAAAAAATTTTGTTTGCCTCACTTTTCATTCTTTAATTTAAAAAAATATTTTTCCATTAAATGAATATTTTGGTCAATATATAATTTTATAACAATATAACCGTTTCGGAAATTTCGGAGCAAGAGATATCCTTTATATTGGATTTTGACGTAAGTACTGCAGCTAGAGAATCATCATTCAATCCTGATTTCTCACTTGATCAGCTACATTAACCCATGAACACTAGATTAACATATTAGTTTCAAAACATCGAAAATGGCAGGTAGGAGGACACTTTTCGAGAAAGATTAAAAACTACAAAAAGAGGACGATTGGTCTTATCATTTCTTCTCTATGTGTGTTGCTGAATGGTAGAATAATTTATGAAGCACCACTAAAAATTGCAGAAAATAGTTCCCAAAAGCACCGGAAGATGATGTAGGGATGACAAATTTCTGCCTAACACCCGAGAAGCATTTTTTTCAAATCCTCCAAGACATTTTCTTGTCAGCTGTTGATGTGAACCAATGTCCGACTTCTGCATACACATAAATATTGCAAAAAAATTCCAATAACCACGTGCTTGAAAGAGATGCTCCTTCGAACCTAAAACTACAGGCAACACTTGAAAAAGGCAAATAATATAACTCAAAATTAGGAACAAACTAGAAATATTTTCAAAAATTACATTGAATAATATCGAAGGTGTAGCTCAGGTTCGAAAAATATTTAAGCTTTGTCTCCATCAACTGATATTTAAGAGAAAATTACTAATGTATGAAAATAAAATTTATCAAGTGATTTAAATATCTAATGTTTGGAAATGGATTGGATTACGTAAGAAGTCGCTTGCTTCAATAATAAAGGAGTAGAACACGTTAAAAAATCTAAACTTTTATAATGTTTCTAAATTGGAATTTTCAAAATATCAGAGGTTTTAACAACAGTAATAATAGGATCTCGTCTTTTAGGAAACGATAATAGGTATGTCGTCTTTTAGGAGACGTATCCCAATAAGAAGGGTTAACGATGAATCTCGGCATAATTTTTTACTTTCTCGTATTTAAGAAGGAACTTATTAAGAAGAGAAAGTTATGTGATGCTGCACAAAAAAGGCGAATTTTCGGCAGAAAAACTCTTATTACATTTCCCTCGTAACGAAAAAGTGGATAAATTCAGTTGCTAAATTTAGAAAAAATCCTCCAACACATAGCCAAAATCCATGTTTTATGGCTCCTTGATACTGAAAAATCGATTGACGACAAAACGTATCTCTCCGTCTGTCCGTCCGTCTGTGAACAAAGCAGCGGCTAAACAGATCTGCCAAATTTCTCCAAAATTGATATTCCGTGATCGATTTGGCCGATGTCACGGCCTCTTGAATTTGAAACCGATATTTTAATTTTGAGGTTTACTTTACATGTACCTCAGGGACATTTTCAAATTTTCAAAAAATGGCGCGATCAATTTTGATTCAATATTGTTGTTGAAAACAGTGAAGGACGTTTAAGAGAATGGTGCAGATCTCATAATGATTGAAAAATCTAATTTTTCAATTGCAAAATTGCAAAAATTCACATTTTTTTTCGGTGTTTTCATACAACTAAAATATTAAAGAAAGAAAGATATTTTTTTCTTTTCTAAAAACTGTTCTTTAAAGATATATTTGAAGAACAGTCATATAGAATTTTTCGAAAATTTGAGTATTTTCGCGTAATTTTGCGTGAAATATAGACAATTTTTAATTATTGTTTAAATAAAATTTTTTTCTCAACATCTCCATCGTTTTTTATCAGATATTGTTGGTTTCAGCGTATTCCTATAACTACAATTGTGACGATTCTATTTTCTTACTGTTCATAAAAAACATTTTCAAACGAGGTCAGAATGAATTTTTTTTAAACTGTAGTATTTTTTGTGTATATTCGCGACAAATTTAATAGCCCAGTCGAACTGACTGCACTGTGTCTTCTTATAAGTACTATTGTGAATATACATTTTTTTCTTAATAAAATGTGCTTATCAGAAATAGATCTTTAAATAAGGTCATGTCCAATTTTTTGGAAATATGAGTACTTTTTGTGTAATTTTGCGACAAAACTAATTGCCCACTGTGAATGTTCTGCGCTTAGTGAACAGTGACAGACAGCTGGATCCTACGTAAGTTAAAATTTGTATATTATTTAATATTTGTTTGTTCGTTATTACATTTGAGCTTTTGTTATACATTTAAATATTAATCTTTTTGAAATTATTTAAACTTATTTGAAAGATATGAAATGAAATGTTCTAGCTTTCAGGGAATATCAACAATGCAGGGAATGCAACAATGGAATTTAGCGTTGCGCTTGCGAATTCCTGTGAATTATGTCTCATTGTTGTAACATGAATTAGCTGTATGAAAAAGGGGTTATAATTGTCAAATTTGTGTTGACATTTTCTTGAAAATATTTATTTTTTGTTTCAAATGCTCTACCATAAGTGATGAATATACCACGGAACTTCAGGAACTAAAAATGATAAAATTATGCATGCAACCATGCACTCATAATAGCCAATATACGCGATTAAAACTCAGAATATGCGTTAAACAAAAATATAGTGAGAAACAGCTATCATTTATTTATACAAATATTTATTTCACACCGTAGTACAAAACGCTTATAATATTTATATATTTTCAAACATCATAATAAACAAAAAACGTATTAAGCAACGAAACTGCCTCGCTTCAGTCCACTTCTACGCAAAAAGTTGAAATACATGCTTTTGATATGATACACAAATGAAAATATGCAGTTAATGAAAAAAATCCCAGAAATATGCAATTGTGCAAAATATAAACGGGCTACTTTTATTTTATTTTTAGTGGTAGGTAAAGTTATATATCGTAAACACGGGCTACTTGGGCCCAGTTTTTGAATAATTTTGAAGTTTTTCCTTTACTAATCTTAGAAAAACTAAAACCTCGATCTATCAACGTGGCATTGGTTTAATTCCCGGTACACCCAATATGATCGCAGCTCTAAAACAGGCAAAAACTCGTTTTTGGAAATTTCTTATTTAGAATTCCCTCCCCCCAAAAAATTGTATTATATATATATATATATATATATATATATATATAGACACACACACACACATATAAGTTCCCCACCAGGAGACCGAGCCGCGACTAATGACATCTCATATATCTCGGTTGGCGCACGGGAAGTGGTCTAACCGTGAGTGACGGATGCGCACACAAGCGCATTCGCAGTTAATTAAATTCTGTGTTTGTTGCGTAAATATGCAGTTACATAAATGTACAAATTCATAAAGTTGTAATGTTTGATGCAAAGAAAGAGGAAGAAGACAGAAGACAAAGGAAAGGCAATAAGGAAGGGAGTAAAGAGATAGGGAGGTACAGAGGTAGGATCAATAGAAAAAGTGTAGGGATTACAGAAAAGAGGTTGGTGAAACATGATGCAAATTTATAGGAGTAAAACGGGTTGGTTTGATAAGGGTAGAGAAAAATATTTAAAAGAAAAAAAAATATTAGAAGAGTAAGAAATGATTGTAGGGTATGTGATAAAGGATCCCGCACAGTCAGAAAAGAAAATTTAAAAGAAAATTGAATTGAATTTAAATTGAATGGCGCTTTGTTCCTTTATTTATGTTAAGTCGATATATTAACAATATAGTATTGTGAAAAACATAACACTTTATCTCTGAGAAACATTGATAGTTTTTAACCAATTCATTCCCAGCCCCAAATTCATCAAGAGCTCTTCCACCATTTCAATGTTTTCCTACATCGTCTTGTGGATGGAAAACCAAAGAAACGTGGACTTCATCGACAATAAGCAACCATCAATTGAAGATGCTCTCCCTCCCACTTCATGGTAATAGTTTATTAGATTATACACACACACACACACAGAAATATGACAGTCGCTTATGTTCTGGTATCTAATTTACTATTTTCTCTTTTTTTATCTAGGTGCTAATCTCTCATGTGCATACACTAGTGGAGAATGCCAGGTTTCTTGTAAAAACAGCGATGGTAAAGTTCAGTGTACATGCCCAGATAATTTCATTCTAACGAGTGATAATAAAACATGTACGTCTGCACCAAGATCATTCTGTCATTTTGTGTTAACTTCAAGTAGTGGAACTTTTCAAACACCAAACTATCCTAATAATTATGACAACAACGTACTATGTAAATGGATAATTGTGGCATCAAAAGAGAGAAGAATTCGTTTGGTAAGGAAGATTATGATTGTTTTGTTATCTCTTTATGTATTAATTTGCTCTCCCAGAAAGTAGGTTATAAGTACAATTAATGAAAATATCAAATTAAATATAAATTTACTTGCATATAATCAATAACAGTAAAATATGGTGAACATAACATTTATGACAAACTATAATTTCTTATCTAGACTTTTTTTCAATAAATATTTTATAGGATATCCCATCAATAAATACGGAAAAGTGTTGTGACCAGGTGATAGTATTTGATGGAGTAAGTAAGGAAATAGCAAGAGTGCGTGGGGAGGGAAAATCTCTAAATGTGGTGTCTACTGGAAATATTATGACTGTTATGTTCGTATCTGATTACTCAAATGTAAAAACTGGTTTTCGAGCAACGTACCTCGCAGGTAGGTATACAATGTACGTTAAATAATAGCAGTATAAGTAGTAGCCGCAGTACGAAAAAGACTAGCACTCGCTTTACCGTTTGCGGAAGGAATATGTATTTTACAACTTTGTAAATATACAATAGTTCGATTCACAAAATAGATCTTTATAGGGTTGCCAGATGTGTTCGAAATAAAACCGGACAACTTTATATTTTTTTTATTAGCTCATATAAATTACTGAAAATGGAAAATGTTTACATTACATTTTTGTATATTTTGCATTCCATTTCACTGCTTTTAATAAACGCTTATTGCTTGAGATAGCATCTTTGAATACAGTGAAACTATAGCTTATATTGAATAAAAAGCATAATTCACTTTTGATAGTGTTTACAGCGAGACGATTTCTTTCGTCAATCCATACATTTCTCATGACGCTAAAGATTCATACTACAGAAGCATCGGATACAGGAGTACTATAGTCAAATCACAATTTTCAACAAATTTGATGAACCTTTTTTGATTTTTTAAAAAAAATATTAATTCTTCTTGTTCGACCTACAATTAGTTCTTACATCTCCATGATTCTCGTTTCTGCGAGTGTACTGGCAAATGATCTACTCTGTCGTGACTTATTTCTTTACTAGGTCTTTGTTCAATTTTTTATGTCACACTGCCCTCTTTTATCAGTGTTTTCATCTATCGCAGATAACAGGAGTCGTGACGTTCGTCATCAATAATTCCCTCCATTTCAGACATATCGCCATCCGAAGTGCGAACCCGATGTCAAAGGAAATAGAAAACTGATACGAGAAAGTCCTGCGCCATTCTGTACCCCACCACTAGTGGCGTAGCAGTGTAAGCGCTTATTCCCTTGTTTCTTTGTTTTCTCTTTGCACATATTGCTCGCGGGATTTGGGAAAAGAAAAAATCTCGTACGCGATACGTTTGAAATGTATACCATTTGCTCTAGTGATGAGTACCTATGCGTTAAGAACCATAGTCCACATCTACGTGTATACAACGGACTGCGTAGACAAAGGTGATCAATGTAGAAGACGGTAATCTATTTTATTTTTTTTTTTTTGTGAGGCAGGGCCGAATCTACGAAGGCTAGGCTCCGTCCCTAAAGCCAAAGTTTATTTATTTATTATAATTAAATATTAATAAATTAGGTAATTATTGCACTCAATTTCTCCAAAGAAATACTAAATCACTGGATCTCGATATATATTGAGATCACTGGCCCTTTCTACAACAGGAGTGATATATTTTGTCTGACTTATTGAATCGAAAATAAACTTTCTAATATTACTATATATTATAAACTTTTTTGAGTTACATGATGTGGAAAAATAGTCAACACAGATTACGTTGTCTACATGTGAAAAGAATCATGTAGAAAACACGCGTAGACGTAAAATAATAGTCTATGACACAACTCTTCTTAGCTCTCAATTTTAATCAAGGAAAGGTCGTAATTGTTTCTCTTTGAGATTAGGCGCCAAATTTGACTTATTTCCGCCGTTACATGTGTGGACACATTTTTCTAGAATATTTTAGAAACATCATACAATGTCGGCTTTCACGACCGGTGTCCAAATTATTTTATGTGTCCGGGCTTGTAGGACGTGGTCCAAAGGAGACTACTCCAGACGTTTCGCCTGAAACTGCAGCAGACATCACCAGCGGCGAAGCTGGCGGGAGGGGGGGGGCGAAGTTCTCTACCTGTCTGCACGGCGCCGGCAGGTGCTCCCAGGCTTTTTCATTTTCCCCTCTCCAGTTCCTCTGAAGATACGGGGATTTATTCATTTTCAAGGAACACTTTGTTCTGAACCCGATTGAGCGTGTGCAGCTACGGACGGGCCCATCTTCAATAAACTAACTAAAATTATATGGGTTCGTAAATTCTCGGCTATCCGGGATGAGCCGCGTCTGGGTCAATATTACTGACGTTTCGGCCATCTTGCTGTGGCCTTCTTAAATTTAACTAAATACGAAAGGCGTATTTGGGCATTCTTCGTTTAAATTTTGTTTCGTTATATACGTACATTAAAAAAGTTCGTGATATTCTGTTTTCTTTTCTTATTTTATTTCATTGACGCACTCATTCATTCTTAAGCTATATTTACAACCACATTCATTCACACAGGCACACAACACGGCGTCACACAGCACTTTTTACACTAATTACTCGGTATTGTTCGCCACGGCGCCGACTTGACTCAAGCGTCCGTGGCGCCGCGACGTCTTCGTTCCTAGGCGGCCCAGGACGGGCGTCGCACAGCTCGGAGAGCTAGTGTGCGGAGACAGCGCGCGGAAGGGAAGGCGCCGCGCCGCGGGCTCTTTCTTCTGTGGAAGGCCCTTCGCACGCCTCTGCGCGCCGGATGCGCGGAGCGGACGGCCCTAAAGCGCATTCGCAACGCAAACGGAAACATAACACAAACGTAGACGTAAACATTAACATAAGTGAAGTATTCACAAGGTCTAACATAGACGTAAGCAAAATAAAAGAGTTTCTATTGGCTGTGAGGCATTCTAGTTTACTATTGCTTGGATGTGAGAATCGATTTTGAGGTATCGACTGTGTCCATGACCCATACGGCGTTCGTTCCTCTATCGACTTCGCTCCTCTTTCGATTCTCGATTTTGAGTTAACGAGCTGTGATTGGTTCATTTCTTATATCTTCCGTAAGCACAATCACAGAAGCTTCAAGCTTGCAAGCTCTTACGTGTTCTACTTGCGCGAACGCATTGTGAATGCGTGTGGACGTAGTCCTGACTTTCATGCTAACGCCGTGCTTCTGCTTATGTTCGCGTTGTGAATGGGCTTTTGGCGCCCTCCCGAGCGCTACCTCCGCCCGCTCCTGCAGCTTCGCCGGGAACTGGTTGCGTTCGCGCAAACCCCTCAAGACGTCGGCGTTTCGGGGAGTTGTGTCGGGGCAGGGATTGGAGAGCTGCGGGGAAGCCGCGAGAGAGAGAGAGAGATAGATAGAGATAGAGAGATAGAGATAGATAGAGAGATATAGAGATAGAGATAGAGAGAGAGATAGAGATAGATAGAGAGAGAGGGGGAGGGAGAGAGATAGATAGATAGAGAGATAGGGAGAGAGAGAGAGAGAGAGAGAGAGAGAGAGAGAGAGAGAGAGAGAGAGAGAGAGAGATCTATGGTGTTATCTTCCTGGCACGCCTGTCTCTTACGAGACTCTTCGTCCAGTTTTTTGCTTCTTCCAGTAGTTTGTTGTTACGTTGCGACTCCTCTCCCCCGTACAGGGACGGGGATTGGGAGTCGGGGAGGGAGAGAAATGTAGGGTAATTTTTGTTAAGGGGGTTTTGGTAGAAGGGGAGGGGAATGGATTAAGGAGAAGAGTGGGATAGGGAGTAGGAAGGGTTGGGAAAAAGTATGTGTCATTCTTTGGTCCGTCGTGGGTCAGTGTTTTAGTCCGTGGTTTTTCGTCGTTAGTCGGTTATTCTGTGTCCACCCTTTGGCCTAGGTAAAGGGAGGGGGAATGGGAAGCCGCGAGGCGCGCCGCTCTGATCTCAGCGAGCCGAATGGAGCGCAGCGTGGAGGGAGGAGCGACCGCGAAGACCTCGCGTGCAGACGCCCACAAGGGGCGCGCGCACGCACGCGGGGAAGAATCGCCCGATTTAGCAATTCCTCTAAAGCGCCGCTTATTCACAGCTTCGCGTGGCGTACCCTGTGGGCGTACGCTGTGGAGGTATTCGCGGCAGCTTCTCCACTCCACTCTGCACCCATCCGGGCAGCAGAGACAGGCCCCGCCTGCGGCAGCCCGCACTTGCCTTTTACAGACCCGACCGACAACCCAAAAATTGCTGACGTCTTCAGAATCTTAGGCGTTCGCAACCAGCTCCCGGCCGGGAGCTACAAAAGAGGGCGGAGACGGCGCTCGCAAGGGCGCGAGGACCGTCCGCTCGCGCATCCTGCGCGAGACCGGCAAGCGGCAACAGCGACGCTGTGCACAGGGCCTTTCACAGAAGAAAGGGCCCACAGCACGTCGCACTTCACCTTCGCGCACTAGACCCCCGCACAAGCTCTCTAGCCTGCTGCGACCGCGGGGGAGCAGACAAGTGCGTGGCAGGGGTCGCCGCTCACGGATGCCCGAACACCAGCGCGGGCGGCGCGGCATGCGCCTCCGTGGGCCGGCCGTCGGCTGGGACCGAAGACGTCCGCGCCGCACGAAACGACTTGAATTGAAGTCGGCGCCGTGCGTTGCTTTAAAAGTGTATGCTAGTTGTTGATGAAGTTGTAGTTTTGATATTGTAATGAATGGATGCGTTGTAATATAATTATTATAAGTGTGAATGCGAGTGAGAGAAAAAATTAAAAGAATAGAACAATTTCAAGATCTCCCAATTAAAAATTTAAAAAAGAAAGCCTAAAAACTTAACAAACCCTAAGTGGGGAATGTGTATAGTTTTAGTTATAAGATAGTTTTAGTTTGTAAGCAAAAAAGCCTTCCCTAACTGCACAAGCCAAATCGGCTGCAGTTATTCGTAATGTACCCCAAAGAAAAATAAATTCCCGCCTCTCCAGGAAAACTGGAGGGGGGAAAACAAAAAAGCGGGGAAGAAGCGGCGCTTGAAAGAAAGGTCATGTTCGCGAGAACGGAGAAGCGCTTTCAAGAGGATACGAATTTGGATTTTGAGCGCTCCCGGGGTCCCGGGACCCGAATTTGTACCTGCGGCGACGGGCTAGCTTCGCGCCTGATTGGGCCGTACTGATCAGCAGTACTGGTTGGCTGCCGAGACTTTATGATAGAAGGTGCTGGTACCATGTTTTGTGTAGTTTTTCGCCCTCTTCTTTTGTGTTAAAATTGCATCTGTGTTTGTGTATCTCGAGAGCTTCCATCTAGAGTGTCGTGAAGTAGCATGTGGTGGTGTAGAGATCATCCGTTGCTTCAAAGCGTATGTCGTGTCCGCGCCCCGACAGCGCGTGATCGCCGACTGCTGACTTATCAGTATGTCCTAGACGGCAGTTCCGTTTGTGTTCTTTAACC